CCTTGTACCGCTAATAATTCTGCAGTTGTTAGAAAACTAGCTAATTGTTCCTGAACCACGTTTACCTCTCCTTGATACATGAAATCAACCAACGCTGCCAAATCATCGAATTTTACGTTACGGAAAATTATAACTGGATGCTGACATGGATTTTCCTACGGTAAATTCAACAGTGTAAAACATTCGTTCACTTTCGGCGGGGGAACATAAGGGAATTTACCAATCGGATTTACCTTAAATAAATCCCTGAAATACGTGCTACACGCAGACAAAAGCATTTTATGCGCTCTTATCCTCTTCCCTTCGCAGCTTAAAGTCACATCGACCAAATCTTCTTCTGTCCTTAACGTGTCGAACGCACAGGTAATGTGCTTTAAATAATTGTTCCACCTAAGAGAAAACTGTTGACTCGAACCCATGCTGCTTTTCTAGAATAATACAGATTTTTCGTTTAAACGAACGGAAACTTTGTATCGCAGTTCTCGTACATTCAAATAATACATCTAACACGTATATACGTTTGTTCGTGCGTTAAATATACGTGAACGATATTTTACCGTTTCTTGCAATTGTCACGCTCCCCAAAATAATGCGAGTCAGGTCGAAATGTTTCTGGCCCTTAACACGTAGCACGGCTACTACTGTCGATAACGGTCACACGGCGTGTCCGTCAAAGCGGTTCGAATGTAAAAGGTACGCAAAAGTGGCTCTAACGCGTTACTCTTGGTACGTTCGTTGAAAAATAAAAACTGTAAACAGTAAAGCGGAATAGAATTTCATGGCACTGTGGAAGGTTTCACGGGTTCCGCATGTAGATGAAAAGTGGCGTCGATCTACCAAACGATTTTAACGTTATGTAATTGCATTGTGCTAAACGGCTTGTACACGCGTTCAAAAGACTTTCCACAAGATTCTGTGTCACTTTAAAAGCCACACTTCCCGATTAAATGACAGCTGGTAGCCATTTTCCTTCAGGAAAACGCGTAAGATGCGCGAAAAGAACTCCACTTCCTATAGAAACCACGCGCGTTGCGTGGGACGTAACGATACATGTGTGGAACATCGTAAAGATACAGAGGACTCTGTGGTAGAAACCTCGTCATTGGTGAATTTTTCTTTATCCGAAAAACGAACGATTTATCTCGTTATTCGTTCGACGAACGTTCGTCGATAAAACCGACGGTATCTCCTGATTAATATTTTAAACGTAATTCGACAAATACCATTTTTTTTTACCATTTCCTCTGTAACACGCAATTCCGTGCTTCTTATTCTTTAAGAGCATACAGGAAAGAATAAATTTTCGAATCGACGAATCAATGCAATAATAAATCCCTACAACTGTTTTTCCCATTCGTTCGCATCGTGGATGAAGTTCATGAATAATTGAACAATTAGAAGAGCTCTCTTACGTAGTTGTATCCAGTGGTTCGTTCAGACTCTAACCGCCAACGCTTCCACATGGCAATGCTGATTATTCATTCATTCTCTTAGCCCATGCTCATTTAGTTCACCTTGGATTTTCAACAATTGATATTTACACTTTGCTCCTCGTATGTTTCGTTCTTTTGTAATGTTGAGCGTCACATTAAAATGGTATAGTAATTTTAAGGATCCCCAGCCCCGAACAGAAAATCCCATTACGCGAAACGTCCGCATGGATTTCAACTCTCTGCTACTAGCTTCGGTTCTTTCACGTAGATGGCGAGCCAATGGATGCTTAGAGCAGCCAATGTGTCGGTAACGTAGATTCTAGGTAAAGTCAATTTCTGTTTGTTGGTAGAAATTGTTTATAAAGTTACAAAATATATTCGTTTCAATGAAATTATTAAAACTATTGAATACATTGTTAATTTGTGTTCATACGTTGATATTTATTAATTTCATACTGCATTAATTTTGTTATAATCGCGAAACAAAATTCGGCCCATAGAGGGTTAAATAAATATATTGAATAAAGAAACACGCACATTAGTATTTTATTTATCACTTGTCCTACAGCAAAGGTACAAAGCAGGAATTATTAATTCTTCGATACGAAAATTCTTATATTACCCATTATCTAGTTATTTACGTTGAAAATTTCTATTCGAAGTCAATGATCTTCCAGGTACTCGTTTTCTTGTAATTTCAATGTAGCGGTCAAAGTGTTAACCAGTATTTCTACGACGAATGTTAAATTCAGTTTTTCCGACGTGCAAATTCCAAAGGTGAAATAAATAATACTAGAATATACGTTCCAATGATTAGCGTGCACAAAGTGAAATATTCTCGGAATGACCGGTCCTCGTCGGTTCCAGGAATTCAATTCCAGGAATTTAATCATCGCGGTCCGTCGCGATTTTTATTATGGACGCGCAGGTACCACGGGTCTTCCCGAAAATCCTTCTTAGTAGGATTAAGCGGGTAACCCATTTCGCAGTAGTACAATAGCCGAAAATTCCTTAGACTCTTCCAATAGGTAAATAGCCGTAGGTAATAACAGCGGGGACCGGTAGCGAGTACGACCGGAAGTCGCCGAATATCGCCGATAAGGGACGAAAAATGGGAAACAGGCGTAATGATTCCGAATGATTTAGTATCAGTTCACCGTGAGTCGCCGTTCGCGAAGGAGCTCTCTCCTCTCTCGTCTCTTAGACAATCAGTCGTCTTCGCGCAGTGTACGTCGGGCTTCTTGTGGCTTCATCCGGTTTTCTAGAACAGTGTTAGATTTTATTGAAAAGTATATTGGACAATGCTGAACAGTGTTAGACTTTATTGAAAAGTATATTGGATAATGCTGAACAGTGTTAGACTTTATTGAAAAGTGTATTGGACAATGTTGAAGAGTGTTTGACTTTATTGGACTTTATTGGACAATATTGGACAATGTTGAAGAGTGTTCGTCGGTATTAGTCAATGCTGGAGGATGCTGGAGGATGCTGGAGGATGCTGGAGGATGCTGGAGGATGCTGGAGGATGCTGGAGGATGCTGGAGGATGCTGGAGGATGCTGGAGGATGCTGGAGGATGCTGAGGAATGCTGATCACTGGTCATCCA